CCTGCCCTGTTTTAGGACCAGGAGAGATCTTTTATCCAGCCAGGAATTGACTCAAGGTCATTCCTGGGTTTGGAATACTCCCCCTGCTTTAAAACAGCTTGGAGAAGGCTGTAAACCAAGCAATATTCCCCAGGCACAATATTTTCAGTATTTTTTAAGGGTGCGGGTCCTCCTGGTCCTCCTGCATTGTGATGTGACCAGAGAGAGCAGAGCCATGCTTTGTTCACTCTGATCTGGGAACACTGGGCAAGATTTATTTTTCAAATTCATTGGGAAGGGGCCATAGCCCAACAATAGAGCTCTGCTTGGCTGCAAAGCACAGCTCAGTTCCATATAGCAGCTTCCTAGCTTCTCAAATACAGTTTAATCTGTGTAACTGCTTTTAAACCTTAGAGCACAGCTCTGTCCCATGCAACAGGATTCCAGTCTGTTAAAGACAGCCACATTTAAATGCCATTAAAATTAAAAACCTTCTTATTTCTGAGTGAAGATAAAACAGAAGCAGCATGCAGGCGTATGACCATTCCCCCCGGGTTCTGATTTTTAGCTTCCACAATCCCATGCAATCCTTGAGATCTCTAGTTAAAATGATTATTGGTAGCATAGCTGGGAGGGATCTCAACCTGAGACTTTGGTGAGCAGCTAGTCCTACCAGATAATGCTATAACAAGATGGCAAGAGTATCATGTATTTGTTTGCACTGTAATGCCAAAGTCTTATCATCAGAGCTTATGAAGTTACTTTGTAAGATTGTTCGTCTCAGAATCCTCCAGGTTTGGTAACTTATAGTCTAAAAGGTAATTTCTCCAAGAACTGTGCAGCATGCAGAGGTGACTGCTTCAGAGAGCTTTATTTGGGATTCCCTGGAAGAGCAGCAAAATGTTCATTACTGATTTATTTTTATTGTGCATTTGCCACACTGGAAAGGTGCATGCACTATTTTCTGCCCCAGTTGTCAAAATAACTTCAATAACTTTGGTTACTGTCCACATTAACTTATCAGTAGCAGTTGTCATTTGCTGCCTTGGGGAAGTGTAAGAAGCTGCTTTAAATCAATCCAGAATTTTGATCCCAGCTTGCCCCAGCCTGGTACAACCACCAGTTATTGGTTATGGATGATGGGGACTGTAGTCCAACATGCTTGGAGGGGCACATGATTGGGGAAATCAACACCTTCCCAGGAAAGCAGGCAAAAATCTTCTTCGACCCTATGAGTGGAGATACCAGGAAAAGAGCCTAGGATCTTGAACATGCAAAGCATGAACGCAACTTACTTTGCTCAAAGGGACCTGTATCCACCAGTACAGCAGACAAGACACCTAACTATGGAAACAGAATGATCAAGGCAGATAGACCTGTTCTAGCCTGGGGTCCCCTGGATGCACTGAAATACACCTTCTATCATTTCCAGATTAGATGATGGGAGCTGTAGTTCAACCACTTTTCAAGTATGCCCAGCTGGGAACACCTGTAGGGTGCTCTCCAGGTTTTTTCCCAAGTGATTCTTGCCATGCATTCTGGATCATTGCTACGGGTCCACATAAGATTCACCCTGAACCCCTGTGAATTAGTTGGAAAGTTAGCTCTTCCTCTCCTTCTCTTTTCCCCTCCCAATGGAATGTAGGCAAGCACATAGATATATACACAATGTTCTCAGACATCAGATCCCTCTTCCTGTTAACTGGAAAGAGTCTGGAGAGCTGCCTGATGGCTTTCCTGTTTCTTTGGGTATAATAACATAAGGAGAGAAAAAACACGCACATAATAGATCGGAAAACATCAGTGGAATGAATTAATAATCTCTGTCCTTTCACCAGTTACTTATCTGTTTGCTATGTCAGAACACTTCTAAAATCTATGTTAAGTTTCCTCGAGAGAGATTACGCCTCTAAATATTTCTGGCCTTATTGTATGGCCATACAAATTGAGGGATTTTGGGAGCTGTAGCCCAAAAATGAACTTTTCCAGACAACTAAATTTGAATGCTGCCGCACAGTAGAATTAATGCAGTTTGATACAGCTTTAATTGTCATGGCTCCATCCTATGGCATCCTGGGGTTTGTAGTCAGTTGCAGCACTAGAGCTCTTTCACAGAGAAGGCTAAATATCTCACAAAACTACAAATCCCAAAATTCCATAGCATTGAGCCAAAACAGTTAAAGAATGTCAGAATACATTAATTCTGCAGTCTAGATGCAACCTTTGGTTCATAGGTTATCTGGGCAGAAGGGTGAAGTATATATATGGTGTTTTTTGTGTGTGTCATGATACATAAGGAACTTGAAGTGTAGAGGAAAAAAGCAGATACCTTATTTTCCTGCGTATAAGACTACTTTTTAACCTGCAAAATCTGTGGTTAAAGTGGGGGGTCATCTTATACGCAGGGTATAAGGATAAGGAGGATAGAGGTGCTAAAACTCTATATTTTGACTGGGAAACTGGGGGGTTGTCTTATACGCCGGGCCGTCTTATACGCCGGAAAATACGGTAAGTATCACTCTGACATGGAAATTCTCTCTTCCTTTTTTGAATGAAATTATTTCCTAATTAAAAATGACATTTTGAAGTGGAACTATGTACGCCAGTAGCCAAGAAGTCCATATAGGCCAATAACGTGTTGTGGAATGACACATAAAAAAGCAAGGTGAGCTTTTTTAGAGGATGTTGGCACAGCATACCACAGCCTTTTCCAATTTGCTGCCCTGCAGAAATTTTGGACTGTAACTCCCTAACAAGGCCAGTGTTGAGAGATCATGGAAAATTAACTCCAAAACATTTGGAGACTTCCGGAAAAAGTTGATATAGGCCAAGATCTAATAGGACTGCTGGCCTTCTTGGTAGGGTTGCCAGATTTCAGGGCTTGGCCCCTTTCCCCCCCATCCTCAGGGCTTAGGGAAGGAATCTTAGTGTGAAAGTGCTGAATTGAAAGATGTGTATGTACATCTTCCCCATTTGTTAGATTATTTTTTAATTGAATGATGTGCTCTATGCAGCTCCTTTATGCTTAATGTTTTCTGTTTAATGACATCACCAGCAGCTACCCCTTGTGACATGAACAAGGGAATCTCTTGCTTTTGGCCTGAAATCTCCTGACCTGGCAATCTCAATAGAGTATACATTTTCGCCAAATGGACTTATTGGGATGATGCCAGTTCTGTATTCCCTGGATGAGCGAGGGCAGTCAGGCAGCATCTGCGTATAGTGCCATAGGATTTGTAGCTCACAGATAAAAGCATTTTAAAATTTACAATAAATGAAAAACAATTAAAATAATCTAAAAACAGTATAAAATCACATTAAAATATACAAAAGTTGAAAGCATTTAGATACTATGTACCATGCCTTTGTGGGGTGGGAGGGTGCCATTTGCTGTTTTATGCCCCCCCACGGCAAACATTCTTGTGCTGGCCTTGCTAACCTACCTTCCTGTGTTATTTGAAATTCTTATAAGATAGTTTCTGAACATGGAGAATATTTCAGCCTTCCAAGACTGCTGACCTGAAGGTTTTTGTTTTTGTTTTAACATTCTTCCAGAAATGGATGTTAGAGGTATACTTCTGTATGAAATGAGAAAATTAAAATGCATGAGAATTTTTGCTTTGCTTTGCTTAAGCATTGAGATACTGGCTTCCTATTACACTACAGGTGTTAACCGGCATAGCAAAGCTCACATTGCTGGTTTATCAGTTACTGCCATTGTGAATGGTGTCTTATTTTGAGCATTAAATAAAATTGTTACCAACTTTTTTTGTGTGCATTCACTACCATTCGGCTGCGTGTTGCCTCTCAGTACATGTCTGTATGCATCTGATTGTGTGTGTCCTATTTTTACACATCTGACCACTGAGAATATAATTCGAACTTCCTGAATCCGACAAATCTCAGTCCACTAAGTAAATAAATAATCAGATACAATAAATCAGCCTAGCTTTAAGGTACCAGACGCATTTTTGTTGTTGTTGTTGTTGTCATTTGGAAAATATATTTTTTGTTTTTAGATTGCAGCTCCCAAGAATCCTACCACCCAGCATGGCCAATGACCATGCTGGCTGGGGAGTTCTGGGAATTATAGTCCCATAGAGTAACTTTTCCAAGCATGAGAGCAGACTAACAGCCCTGGAGATTCTTATAAGAGGCTAAGTCCTTTCTTCTTTTCAGCTCAATGTCAGGAAGAGATTAAACACAGGTCCCCATCAGCTCGGATGTCCTGCTTCACTGGGGCAAAAGGCCAAGGGCTAATCTGAGCCACCATTTAAGCCCTGGGACCAGTTTGGGCAAGTCTGCTCTACCCAGTCTCAAGGCCCCCTAAAGCTTTACTAGAAAGCAAACTGGGTAGAGGCACAATTGTTCTTCAAAGTGACCATTGTAAACCAATGCAACATTGTGCCTCTTTCATTGCCATGTAATGCATTGTAGTTTTGCTTCTCATGCCTACAAGATATTTTCAAATACCTTTGGATATCATCTGTTAAAGGAAAGATGTGCTTGTTTACCATTTATAAAGTATGAGAATTCCCAAGTACCCTAAAGGGATTTAAGCAGAGCTTGGAAAAGTTACTGCTTTAGACAACAACTTTCTGATTCTCCTAGCCAGCATGGACACTAATTAGAGTGGTGCAGAAATTCTGGAAATTGCCTTTCAAAAAGTAACTTTTCCAAGATCTAGAATCAAACAAGGAAGAACAGTTTTGTCTGCATGCTTACAATCTGATAGATTGTCCTTGTCCTTAAATTTACATGAAATCATTGTTTTGTGTCTGCAATGCATGCAATGCTCATTGGGCTGTCTGGGGCTGGCTTTGATATATTGCCCTTTCCCTGGCAGAGAATTCCATGTTTTGTTGTTGTTGTGTGCCTTCAAGTAGTTTATGATTTATGTCAATCCTAAGGTGAACCTAACATAGGTTTTCTTGGCAAGATTTGTTCAGAGGAAGGTTGCATTTGTCTTCCTCTGAGGCTGAGAGAGTGTAACTTATACAAGGTCACCCACTGGGTTTCCATGCCGAGCAGGGATTTGAACCCTGGTCTCCAGAGTTATAGTCCAACACAAACTGAATCCAATACACCACACTGGCTCAGACTGCTAGATAAGATAGAGGTAGATAAAGTAGCATCACAGTACAATATCTAAGTACGGTAGTTTGAAAGGGCCCATTGTGTATATTTCTGAATGTTGTGTTATGTTTGTACTCCTGCAAACTTTGGAACAAATCTTGGAAAAGTTATTTTTGGAGATTCCATTCTCTTTGTTTCCTAATTAGCAGGATTCTAGAAATCATAGTGTGTGTGTGTGTGGGGGGTATTTTTAAGTTCTACCTTGGAATTCCTTCCAATTCTTCCACTCTTGCAAACAGAAGATGCTATTTTGGCTACATAAAGACCTACATTCTAAGGATGAATTTACTGTTGGTATAGTGCTAACCAGCTGAGATGGCCACTGAGAATCAGTTCTGGGAGAAAAGGAACTAACATGGGACCTTATCACACGCTGCTCTCAAAAGTGGCAAGAAAGCGATATGAGCATCATTCCAGTGCTATAGCGCTAGTATAAATATGGCGCTAGCGCTATAATAGCGCTATGGATCAGCTTGCGCTATTGCAATGCCCGCTGAAACCAACATTCAAAAGAATGCGAATGATGCTACATTCCGAGCGGTTTCTTGCTGGATTCCGAGCGACGTCGTGTAATCGCAGGGAGAAATATAGCGCTATAGCGCCTGATTCTTAGCGGATTCTGAGCGACGTCGTGTGATCACGCGGGAAAATATAGTGCTATAGCGCCTGATTCTTAGTGGATTCTTGCTGCTTTTGGCCCTGTGTGATAAGGTCCATGGTGTTGATCTGCTGCTTTTCCTTTTTCTTGTTGTAGGGTGGAGGTGTTCTTAAGTGGCATTGAATCTCCAGTTAAATCAGGTGCAAATTATCCTTGTATATCTTCAGATTTGCTTCAGAAAATACACTTTTTGTACTACATTTCCCAGAATCCATCTGGGGAATTCTAGGAGCCAGTCTTCCACAAACAAACAAACAAAACTTCTGAGTGCATCTACATTATACATCATACCTTACAATTGTCCTGATTTGGCAGGGATAATCATTATTAATCCTGGGTCATCTTACTTTTTCACCTGTTTGCAAATTGTCCCAATTTCTCCCTCCTACTCCAACTTTCCCTCTTTGTTTTCACCTTACTTCAATTGCTGCAAACTGTTCAAAGTGCAAAAGTAGTTTGCACTCAGTTAGCTTAGCAGTGGGGAGAGAAGAGGAGGGGCAGAATCTTGCATTTCCCAGTAATCTTAGGCAAAAGCAAATTGCTGCAGCCTCTCCAAGCTTGTGTGTTCTTACTCACTGACAGCTTTTGTAATCTTGATCCACTACAAAGTTGCTTAGCCACATGTGTCTCAGTGTTCATATGTGAAATGACGGCAAGTATGGGGAGCCTGTGTGGTGTAGTGGTTTAAGTGTTGGACTATGGAGATTACTGCATACCATTTCTGCGCTAGGAGGGATGCAGGATCTATAACTCAGTGTATGAAAAGCGCATGAGAAACCCAGATTGCATATGGGATGCCTGCTGCCTGGCAATGGGGCAATGCAATAGGATCCATTTTCATGTTTTAGATTTGTATCCCTCCCAGTGCAGAAATAGCGTGTGGTAATCTCCTATGACTCTGGAGACTAGGATTCAATTCACTGCTTGGCCATGAAACCCACAGGGTTGGGCAAGTCGTAGTCTCTCGGCCGCAGGGGAAAGTTATGGCAAACTTCCTCTGAACAAATCTTGCCAAGAAAACCACATGATAGGTTCCCCTTAGGGTTGCCATCTTGTGAAACAGATTTGGGGCTGAGTCTTCACAGGCCTAGGTCTCTTAATGTTTTCCTGACAATGTCTGCAGGTGGTGGAAATACACAAAGAGAAAGTGTCCCGCCGAGAGATTGGATCTCTTACCATTTGCAAGACCTTTCCACACTATCAGAAAATCATCTACCCTGAACATCTTGAACCCTTGGAGGCATATTACAGAAAACCACTGAACTTCAGCAGTTTGGATGAAATTGGCCATGGGATAAAGGTAAGAACTGAAGGCATTCTGTGCATGTTCCACAAGACAGAATGAAGTGGCTGCAGTTTATTTCTCACTTTGATTACTTGCAAGGCACAGAAAAGTCCCAGTTCATTCCAGGGAGAGGAGTACCTGCTACAGTACCTGGAGAGAAACAGAGATGCACATGCTTAAAGCACATAGAAATTTCTGTGGAAGGAGGCTGCAAGAGTACTATATGTGGTTGTTGAAGGTGGTCTTATTTCTCTTCTGTTCACCACCATGTTGCTTTGTGTGCCAAAGGCTTTCTGTGGATCAGGGTCCTTGTATAGGCACATATCGTGCTGCATGTTTCACCCATGCAGGGTTGGCCCAAGGCACTCTTATATTCCAGTGCCTGGGAGGCTCAGGAGTTAAAATTGGAGAATTTTGCATAGTTGACCCTAGCACCCGGTGCCAGAAGTAGTTGTCTTAGTCCACTTGATGGTGGGGCTCGCCCTGACAACATGTGGTGTGTGTATAAATGTAGTTTAGCTCCAGGGAAAATATATTGTTTTGAATTATTCTTCTTATGACACCATGGGTGGCATCTGGTTAGTGTCATGCACACATATATGTCTCTTTTTGGATGAGAGACAGGAAGCTGTTTTCTAGCATTTTGCACACACTGTCCAGCCCAGGGGTAGGCAACCTGTCCCCTTTAAGGGCCGAGGGACTTCAACTCCCAGAATCCCCGGAGCTATTGCCCAACATGGGACTATTGGCCAACATGGCTGAGGCTTCTGGGAGCTGAAGTCCCTCGGCCCTTAAAGGGGACAGGTTGCCTACCCCTGGTCCAGCCCTTCCTCCAGCTGTCAAGCCTGAGGAAGGTGAAGGCTGCTGTGGCTACTGTGGAAAATGGGGAGGCCATTCAGGCAATGAAGATGCAGCTGATCTGGGCTCTAAGGAGAAGGAAAGTGAGGATGACCTCCATGTGTGAGCATATCCTTGTTTCTTCCCCTTTAAGCTGAGACTAGTTGCTTCTTCATTGACTGATTGTTGGATATGGATGCTATGGAGGTGCCCAATTCTAATTCCTGTGAACTTAAGTCTACTTACAGAGGCGTAAGACTTCAACAGGAGTCTAGCTGAAAGCCATCAGGTGCTGCCATGGATCAACACATTACCAGACATTTTTGGACTCTCTTTGGGCTGCATGAATATGGGGACTGTTATGATGAGCTCCTGAAATTCAAAATCTACCAGGACACCATATCCTCTTGACAACAGCCATGAGAATTTTCTGAATTCCAGTACTTGGAAGTAAAATATGGAGAGAACATGTGTGCCCTCACTGTTTCTGTTGAACATCATGGTGTAAAATTATGTTGGGAATCATGCATCCCTCCTCATGTTACTGGGCTGCAAGTCCCAGCAGCTCTGGTTTAGCATCGCCAATGCTGAGGAATTATTACTTTTATCTTAGTATTACATGGTGTTACTGGCTGGAAATGTAGATTCTTTCTAGCTAGAATAGACCCAGGAAATCAGGCTGTGTTCAGAAGGCGGAAACTGGAAAACCCACCTCTGAGTATTCCTTGCCTAAGAAAACCCTATGAAACCCATGGGGTTGCCATAAGTCGATAGGCGATTTGAAGGTGCACACACACACACACACAAAAGGGAACACTTGTATGAATCCTATTCATTCAGAGGGCCTACGTTGGGACTAGTGATTAGATGTGAGCCAGTACAAAACAACTGCTGTTCCCTGGACTTTTTACAGGACCCAGGAAAGTTGAGGGCCAATGCTGGTAATATTCACAGATAGGAGGGCTACAATGTCAAATCTCCAGCTAGTATCAGAATTACCTATTGAGCAGCAGAGGGAATAAACAGGTCAATACAGAAGCACTTGTTTTTATTAATAAGTCTGCCTGTGATACTGTTTGTGGCATCAAGAGTGTGGTTTTCTTAGGTCTTAAAATAAGAAGGTATTTTGGCTTGCCAACAAGATTCGTTGACTTATATAGAGACAGAAAAGTCGGCCACAGACAGTGAGTCTCCAAACACTTCCTCTGTGGAAAAGCTGAGTCTTTTTTTATGAACTACCAAGCAACTACTTTCTTCCGCTTTTAGCAAAGAGCTAAAACAAAAAGAGCATGTGCAGATTTCATCTGTAGAAATGGGGAGGGAGAATCAGACAGTGGTCCCCAGTCCATAGATAGGTACAGAGCTGACTGAAGGGCCATTGAATGTGGCAAAAATGCCACCAGAGCAGAGCTCAAAAAATTTACTGTGTGGACTACATTTCCCAGAATTCCTCAGGGAAAGTCTAAAAAAGTAGTATTTCTATGTTCTGTAGTAATGGAGGACATATGTTGTAAACATGTCTTTATTCTCATCTTGTCTTGTTAGTTGTTCCTTAACTAGGATTTAATTATAATCTTACTAAGTAAGGGACAGTTAGTTAAAGTGAGAAGCAGACATTTTATTGTGTGAAATGCTGAAGAGTATGAATAATTCTTCAAATATCAATGCTTCCCATCATCATACCTTTCTTGGGCCCTTTTATACAATGCAATTATAGGTTCCACCCTAAGGAATGTTGGGATGGCCAACTTAGGGAGAAGTACTTTGATAGCCAGAGAACTTTAGTGTCTCACCAAATTACAAATCCCGAGATACCATAGACGTTGCTATGGTAGTTAAAGTGGAATCATAGTCCTTTAACCATGTAGTGTGAAAGACCCCCTCCATAGGATGTTTGTGTGTGTATGTGCCTTCAACTTATCTGTCGACTTATGGTGAGCCCATAAATTTCATAGGATTTTCTTAGGCAAGGAATATTCAGAGGTGGTTCCTTCCTGTAAATATACAGTGATGCAACTATTGGAACTTATTATCACCTATAAACTTATAAATGTCACCTGTAAACAGGACATTATTTGCCATAACTGCCAGGAAATTGCAGAAATCATTAGTGATTTTAACAAGTTTTCATTCATTAATTTAGAATGATCGTCAGCATATCTGTTGCAAGGGTAGTTATA